TATTTTTTGCTTTTTGAAAACGTGGTTTTTTAGATTAATTTTTTAATCTACTATAATTATTTTCTTTTAAATTTCTCAGGAATACAATATTTTAAAATCGACTGGAAGAATTTTAAAAATACCTTTTTTTATTATTTCAAAATGTGCGACATCGCTTATTTTTTTTATTCTAAAATTCACCGGGATACAATATTTCAAAATCGATTGGAAGAATTTTTAAAATTCATTTGATGGATTATTTCAAGACTGTGTGACACTGCTTTTTTTTTCTTGAAAAAAAAGACCCTCAAAAGATTTTTTCGAGTAAATTCGAATGGATTTCAATACTTACTGAATGCATGCCTCAATAACACGTGAGAATGCAAACGGCTGATAGAAGTTAAAAACCCCTTTTTAGAATATTTTCTTTTAAAATTTTCGAATAGATTGAGGTCTTCTGATAAGGGCTGAACAAAACTATCCGCGAAATTTAGCATTGGAGAGAAAACATGCGCGAACTTGGCATAAAATATGTTCTCACGTTTTCTGGTCCTTCCAATAAATGAAAAAAAATTTCAATTTTACAAAAACAGCATTACGATTTGTAAAAAAATACTATATACTCCGTCAACGGGATTTAATTTCATGCAACACATCATTGGACTCAGAAACAGAATTTTCACGCAAATCATCGAAAAGATCACAGATATAAAGATTAGGTGTCAAAAACTTCAGAGAAATAAATTGAAGAAGCTTCACATCGCAAAAAAAATTTCAAATCAGCTTATTTCACAGGAGAAAAAAATCCGATAACATAGATAACAGAAAATCCGAAAAACCAAAGAGAAAATATTATTTTCTAGAATCAGCCGAGCCATTTTCTTTTTCATTTCCAATTTCCCCTCAAAAGCTGCGAAATTTTTCAAATATGCCTTCAAAAAAGAAATAAATAGTCATCATTTCCGCCTCCAGATGGCAGCATGTTCCACTTTCAAATTAGTGAATTGCAAGAACTTTCGAAAATACCCTGGCATAAAAGCTGGTGATTGGACTTTCTCCCCAAACGAGTGTCAACTCTGCTTAGTTCAAATAGCTTCGCTCCACTCACTCCCAAGAGCAACTTTAATCAAGTCACGTTCGATTCCGTATTATTTTTTCCGTTCCAGACTTTCTCCTTGCAAAAAAAAAAAAAAAGAGAACCTACCACTCAAATTCCCCAGCAAAGAATTGAGAGTAACACAAATGTTACAACTTCGAATTTTTCTTTTCATTTTTGCACAATCAAACGGGTGAGCCTTAATTTCTGATGTTTCAGGTAGATGTCGCTTCCTTTGATCATTATTCTAATCTGATTATGTGTATTTCCCTCAATTGAGCTGCATGAATGTCCATGAATGCCACGAATTCATTTGAACTAGCATAGGTGTCGCCTGAATCCAATTATTATTTTTTTCATCTCTAAGTTTATTTTTTTCAGGTCTACTTATTAGAAGATGTTCTAACTTCAGCGCCAAACCATGCTTTAGCATCACTTTTTGTTTCAAGTAACTGTGGGAAACAAAACGTAAAACATGCAGGCGACATCTATGAAATACCCTAACAAAGCATGAAGTTGTGGACGTCAGTAGAAAAAAATCCTACTCTGAAAACGTCATTGGAAGAGAAGAGCTTTTTGTCCACTTCCTTGGACATGTGAACATATAGTTTGCATGAAAAGTGTGCCTTAGTCCTTTATACCCAGCCAAGCATGAAAAATGCAGGCGACATCTATGAAATTCCCAAGAAAAGCATCAATTCATGGACATGTTCAGATAAAGTGGAAAGAAATAGGGAATCCATTGTTAAATATAATCTCAGTGCAAGAATTCTTATATAATTGAAATTCAATAAATCCAAGGACTGTTTCCTCATCCCACTGACTGACTATTATATTTGGGACAATGCAGGAGTCATTTATGAAAACCTCAACTTTCCAGATGCCAAAAAATCCCAATTTAGTGAGAGAGTTCAAAATAAATTTTAATTCACTACACAGTTGAGACTTTTGCTCAAAAAATGTCGTCCACAACGATTTTCTCTGTTTAACAAATTGCTTTTGGTCCCATATGAATTCTCTTCAATGAAATTCTCTCTACGCCATATTCGTTTTTCGCGCCCAGAATTTTCTTCCGCAGAGTGTCGACATTGTTGCCCAACCCCTCAACTTGGATTGATTCAAGCGACATCTACGAAACCGCCAAGAAAAGCCAAAAAAAAGACATGAGGTGCTTCAAATTTAATCAAATGAAAATGAAAAAAACTTGAACGTTTTTCTAGCACATTAGAAGAAGAAAAATTGTGAAAGAGGAAAAAAAACGGTATTTTTATTTACCTTGTCTGGTGAAGGAATCCTCACGTAGGATAAACAACAGTGCCAGGAACCTGTTCACCTCTCGTAAACACAGAACTGTGCCATTGTTAAGGCAAATCGTCGACCCGCTTTGATTGTCGAATGCGTCGCTGTCGTCGTCGTCTCGCAGCCTGATTCACAAACAAACACAAAAATATTGACAGAAAATTAGTGATCAGGGTTATTTCAAAAAACTGTATGGACTCTATTCGTTGAATGCAAAAACAAAAATCCTTCTCCAAAATTGTGCTCCCTAAAATTTCTACAATAAAAAGTTATGCTTTGATCGAATGTTTTTTTTTCTTTCCCGATCCTTTTTTTTCTTCGGCAAATAACCTGAAAACTGAACCTACTTAAAATCAGAAATCACAAGAGACACAGGATGAAATGAAAATAGAATCTATAAAACATACACTTCTTGTGAAATACAAAATCGTTTCCAAAATTGTACCTCGAGACTGTCTAATATGAGAGGGCAAAACTCCGCTTTGAACAAATATTTTATTTTTTCCCCATTTTTGTTTTTTCAGCCCGCAAATGACAAGAAACCCGAATCTATTCGAAGCAACAATTACACATGACAAACATACATAAATTTCGGGATAGAATGCGAATCGATGCAGAGTAAATTCAAGAGACTCAAATAAAAAATTCCATTGACCGCTTCCTTTTCCTCTAAATAAATCAAAATTGGAACACAATCAATCAAATACTGAGTTATTGATTTTTAAACTCATTGTCGCATAAAATTCGAGCCAAAAGCAGAATGACTCTTGCTTTCAATTCCAACATTTCAGCAAGGTTAACCAAGACCCAAATTTATCAGTAATTCCTCAATTTCATCACATGAGAGACTTTCACATACAGTGAGACCCCCAAATGCGGACATATTTGGTGCATCAGGTGTCACAAGGTTTGGTTGTAGAGTATTATACATGTAAGAATAGAAAAAATATAACACAGGAATCGGTTGGGCTACAACCGGGGTGCTCGAGAACACCCTATCTTAAAGAAGTTGTATTCACAATTCACAAGTTTTTTCAAACAGTCTTGATAAGTTCGCCAGTACTTTGTATGTTCTGCACAGTACAAAGGTTTGATGGATAGTGATTCAAAATCCTGAGACATTTCCTCAGGAAAAAAGGGTTTTGTGTGGAAGTCTTCCACAGAGATTTTGGGTTAGATTACAGCTTCCGCCGTTGGGGTGAAGTTACTGGTATTTGACGGTTACTTTGATTTCAAGGACTAAAGGTCCGTTTTTTCAGTTCTTGTGAGAATGGGTGAGTAACCTGATTCTCACGGAAGGCTCCAAGGAGGAGTTTCGGCAAATTGCCGAAACTCGTCTCAGTTTATTACTTTCAATTCTAAAGGCGCCGTTTGGCGTTTTTCTCTTTGAAGATTAAGTTCGAAACGTTGAGAAGAGTGACATGAAAAATTACTTTCCGTCAACTCGAGGCTGGCAATTAAATTCGATATGCTTGGTTCTGCAGAAATGCCTCAGAAAATTCGCGACATCAGGAGTGTCTCTAAGTTGAGTCGTGTTTTCCCATAGACTTACATTATATAATTTCTAATTGGTGTTTTCTGGAAGAAATATTCTTCAGAATTCCATGAAAAAAAAATAATTGTTCACCACATGAATTTGATACAGTGAATATCTTTTCAACCCAAAAAGAACATTTGAAGCATTTGTTAGAAACAGTAATTTGAATTTGTTGAAAATTGATGGTTTTCTGACTGGTTTCTTTCAGATTTGAAATAACTGATTTAAACGCAATCAGCCAGGCTGCAGCCGGGGTGCTTTACACCCTAGTGTAAGGTTGATATATTTTTCGAGGTTTGGTAGGATTGGATTCGAACAGCAGTTCAACAGACAGTCTTTCGCGTAAGACAACACAGAAGCAACAGATGATTGTATACAAAAATATTTCACTATTTAAACATTTCTCTCAATTACATTTTTGTCCCAGAGCTTTATCCTTCAGAAGGATTTCCCCAAGAATCCCAAATCTTGTGGGAACTTGAGGTCAAGTGCAATCCCACCGGTTTCCATCCCTCTCATAGCAACGCCGTTTTCCTGGCGCCTATGTAATCCCATCCTATTTTAGACTATTACTAATTTCTCTCCAACAGCATTGAATAGTATGCTGTTGTACAGTTCATTGAAATCTCAGCATCAGTAAAAATAACATCCAAGTCACAAAGAGAGAAGGAAGTCCATCTGTGCCATAAGTAATTTTTTAAATTAGCTGAATGGATAGGAAAGTGATGGGAAAAGTACCGAAGCATTTTTCTCGCATAGTTCTTAGGGTTGGAAATATATGTTTTTTGCAATTAGGCCGAATAGAAATCAACTTTCCCAAAATTTTGTTGGCAATTTTATCATGCTATGTGTCCGCATTTCGGGCCATTTTCATGATTTTTTATTGAAAATAAATGTCCCTATGTCGAGGTGTCCGCATGTGGGGGGTCTCACTTCTTTCAAACAAAATGCAAATCATGTACTGTACACGTGCACGAAACTTGATGAATTAAAAAAAAAAATGTATCGTTTCCCTCTTTCCACTGGGCAAATTCGAATTTTTGGACAGTGCACAAAACTCCATAATAATTACATCTTTATTCTCATACAAATTGTCGCCCGAAATTCGAGCCACGTCAAATAAAAAATAGGAAGTGGCTCAAATTAAAATTAAAATAGCCGCAAACCTTTTCTTCATATAAAAACAAAAAAAATTACGAAGTTTCTCTCAGATTGAAATTTCAACTCATTTGTGGATTTTCAGAAGTACAGTAAATGAATTTCTCTTACCCGTAAATGACGGAAGCGTCAATGACGACGTCGATCATGTCGCAGCACAGCTCGTAGCTCTGCATGTCGACAGGTGACGAGTCCGTCGCTATGTAGATTTTCGAGGCCACGTCAAACAAAAACGCCTTGTCGATCGCTGAATTCTGTCGACACCAAAAAAAAATTCATTAGCAGCAGTTACAATTTCCTGCACTTCTTTTTTTCTTTCTCTCTCTCTCTCTCTCAAATAAAATGTTTTCTAGTCAAAAATTTGACTCGAAGACATTTATTTTTTTGTTTTCTACGGGCTTTTTTTTTTCTTCCTCACCGAGACGAAAATATTCAGGAGATTCTCCAGCGTCGGCAACTGCGGTATCAGCTTTTGCACCACCTTGGAAAAGGCCTCGAAAATCGAATGGTCGTAGATGGACGTCAGGTACAGGCTCAAATTTATGTTTTCCATATCTGGAAATAGACAAAAGGAAAATGTTTCAAATTAACGCATTGAGAAAAAATTGGATAATTCAAATCCCATCAATTTCGAGCAGTACTTCCTCTTTGTTCATCAAAGAATGGAGGAAAAATGAATTCGAAATTGTTGTGGGATTTCAAAGTTCTCCAAAAAAATTCAAACTTCATCACCTCACAAACTTCAGATTTACAGTGAAAATCTATCACCTAACCAAATGATATCAAACCAAATCAAATTTGTGGGGGCCCAAAAACATATGTGCACAATGTGTATATCTTCAAAACTAAATTCAGCACTTGCCAAAACAACTTTTTGTGGGACCTTGAAGTTCTCTCAAGGATTTAAACTTTATCATGAAAGCCTCACATTTGCAATAAAAATGCATCACATAACCACATAATAGCAAAACACGTCAATTTTATATGGGCCAAAAACAATCTTGACAGTGTACGGTTACTCAAAACTAAATTCAGCACTTTACAAAACAACTTTTTGTGGAACTTCGTATTTTTCCAAATTTCAACTTAATTTCACAAGCCCCAGATTTGCAAGGAAAATGTATCACATAATATCAACCCACATCAAGACAGGGGTGCCAAAAACAATCTTGACAATGTGCAGTTACTCAAAACTAAATTCAGCAATTGCCAAACACACTTTTTTCGGAATCTTGTAATTTTCCAAATTTTCAACTCCATTTCACACGCCCCAGGTTTGCAATGAAAATGTATCACATAATATCAACTCACATCAAGACAGGGGAGCCAAAAACAATCTTGACAGTTTACAGTTACTCAAAACCAAATTCAGCACTTTACAAAACAACTTTTTGTGGAACTTTGTATTTTTCAAAATTTCAACTTAATTTCACAAGCCCCAGATTTTCAAGGAAAATGCATCACATAATATCAACCCACATCAAGACAGGGGTGCCAAAAACAATCTTGACAATGTGCAGTTACTCAAAACTAAATTCAGCAATTGCCAAAACACACTTTTTTCGGAATCTTGTAATTTTCCAAATTTTCAACTCAATTTCACACGCCCCAGATTTGCAATGAAAATGTATCCACATCAAGAGGGGGTGCCAAAAACAATCCTGACAGTTTGCATGAATTCAACAAGTTTTGCACTTTCCAAATAAACACAAAAATGGGGGGGGGGAAGGACGCATAAAATTTGGCCACGAATTTGACAAATTATTCATTTCTCCTCACGATTCTGGGAAACGGAACAAGGGGAAAGATTAAGAAAAGGAAGCAAGGAAATGTGATTCAAGCCCTGGAAAATGGGGCTATACCGCTTTAATCAACCCAGCTTTTCCGAACTAATCAAATTTCCAGGGCCCAGAGAGTGGGTGGAGAAGTTGAGTGAGTGAGTGAGTGAGTGAGTGAGTGAAAGATGTCAGGAAAATTGCATTAGCGCATTGATCTGACATCGCTCGAGAATATTTTCTCCCAAATCCCAAGTAATTTCCCATTTATTCCCTCATACATTTTCCAAAGAACTAAAACAAGTTTGTTTCCATAAATCCCAAGCTTCCTAAAGTAATTCTAGACGTTCAACAAAAAGTCATAAAGGATTGTCCCATTGCCACGCGACTCATAATAATTCGGCAAGCCATCATCAAACTTAACTAAATGATTTCCATTATAAACAAAATATATACATACACCTCAGGGTTTTCTGAAATATTTCTCGCAAAAATTCACTGTAATTCCATTCGGCAGGATGGCGGATAAAAATTTTGAATAATCCAGATTCTAATTTCACAAGCCTCAGATTTGAAAGGAAATGTATTACATAATATCAGAACAACATCAAAAGGAGGATTCACACAAAAAAATCCTTACAGTGTGCATACATTCAAAACTAAATTCAGCACTTTTTTCAGTTCAACGTCGCAATGTCATTATTGATCAAAAGTTTAAAATCGAAAAATCTGCTTTGAAAAAATTTAAACTGAATATTTTACTTGGAGAAATTGTTTTCCATCGACAATCACAACATGTTTAACTACGAACATCTTTGCAGCCTCCAGCAATTTATTTTCTTCTAATAATGAAAAAATGAAAATTAAGGAGGAAAAAAAGAAATGCATAAAATTCTCATCCATATCCAAAAACCTCAACAAACTTTCAGGAATTCACTACTTTTATTTTTCAGTGGGATCTAATGACATTTTCCAAACATACGAAGCGTGTTCAAAGTTCATAACCCAAAAATTGTTTTTCCTATTAACCCTTAAAGTTTTCAAAAACGTTTTAAAATTGAAAAACGAATTTAAATTTCAAGAACGTTTTAAAATTGAAAAAACGAATTTAAATTTCAAAAACGTTTTTCGATTTCAAAAACGTTTTTCGATTTCAAAAACGTTTTTCAATTTTAAAAACGCTTTCCAATTTCAAACGCACAATTCAATTTTTTTACACATTCAAAAGTTCAAAAACTCCTAGAAATTGAAAAAAAAAGTTGCCCCAGATCTTCTGGAAACCCGTTCTTCCAAAATCCTCCTCAGTAAAATAGATAAAAAATACACATTCCCCCACCCGGAACTTTCATGAAGAAATAAAATTTCGCATTTGCATCCAAATTCCGCCACTGTGAAATTCAATCATACCGGAAGGACGTCCGTTTCCGCGACACGTGACCAGAAAAATAAAAACAAAAACCACGCTTGAAAAGGCGACAATGAAAACCGGAAGGAAGTCATTCCTAGACTCACATTGAATACCAAAAAGCCCAGTCGACAAGGAAATGAGGCAAAGGCTGACACATTTCCGACGTGAGTAAATCAATAGGGGGAGAAAGGGGGGTCCACAGAAATGGAGAATAAAAATTGAAATTCGCAAATAAAATAAAAATGCCTCTTTTTCCTTATCCTGATTTTTTTTTTCAAGGGGGAAAATTTCTCAGCGAATTTTCGTTCAACACCCTGAAATACTCTGAATGCGAGAGGAAAAGATAATTTGAAAATATGAGGAAGAATTCATCTGGGAATTTCAAAGTCCACGTTGGTTTTTCGGCCTTGGGGAAATTCCATGGGCTTGTTTCAAGGTGTGCGTGACACCATGTGATGTCACAAGAAAAGTAAGAGGGGTGGTACTGAAAGTTTTATCAATTTGGCTTCAATTTCAGAAGAAAACGGGATGCGCTTATTTTATTTTTTTGAGAACAGAACAGAGTATGTGCCATTTTATTTCGTACACTCAGTAAATTGTTTCAGGGAATGGAATAATTTTTGAAAAGAAGGAATCTGCACAAAAGCAACCAGAAATTTAGATGAAGCAGTACTAATTTTTTGAAATGTAAAACATTTATCATGACACACATTGAAAACTTTTCCCAATATTCAACCATTTATTCACTTTGACAATAAAAATAATATTTCATCTACAGACATTTCATCATTTTAAATAACAGTCTAAAATTGGGTAAAATCAAGTACTTTACTGTATTAACTTGAATAAATAAAAATAAGAGCACTTCCTCCCAAAAATCCGGGAAAGTTTTCTTTCAAAGAAGGGTTCAAACCCTGGGGAAATCATAAATAAGGAATATTTCAACTTCAAAGTATTTGGTAATGCTGAAATTTCCTCAAAATTCATAAAGTGTGCGATTGTGCCAAAAAAAAATTGTTTCTTGAATTCCGTAGTTTGCCTTTCATGCCTATATTTTCATTCCGAGTTTTTCAACATTTTCAAGCAAAAATTGTATTCTTGGCTTTTTCAAAAATCAAAAGTCCTTCTGTGCAAATAGAGCTCAGCTTCTCACTCTAACTCTCACCAAAAGGACTTCAAAAATAATTTCTGATGAAACCAGAATAAGACGGCCTAAACCCATTCCACAAAAAAAACCCTGAATACAATGTATTGGATATAGGACAACTCAAGATAGACAATTTGACAGGGCCAATTCAAGACAGGGACATTTTGAGACATACACTTTTGGAGACAGGGACAATGCAAGACAAAAACTCTTGGAGACAGAGACAATTCAAGACAGAAACTTTTGGAGACAGAGTCAATCCAAGACAGAAACATTTTAAGACAGAGACAATTTGAGACAAATACATTTTGAGACAGAGAGAATTTCAGACACTTTGAGACAGAGGCACTTTTCAAATGACATTCAGAGTTCTTTGGGACTGTCTCAAATTGTCCCTGTTGTAAGGTTTTAATTCTAGAATGAATATTTTTCAAGCCTTACACCTTGAATTTCTTATTTAATGTACAGCAGAGTCTTGGAAAGCAAAATTCGGATTGATTGAATAAAACACGGTAATTGGTCGGGCGCGAACCGACCGGGATTTCTCCCAACTAGCGCAGACCTTTCTTTTCAGAACAAACAGTACAGGGTATTAAAATTGGCACAAAAGATATAGTACACAACAAACAGTAAAAGGCTTCACATACACACACACTCAGTCACAGGTTATGGTGAATATTCTCAAAGTCTTTGATACAACAAGTTTTCCAGTAATGGAAAGAATAAAGGGAGAAGGATCTCAAGTCAGATTTTTAGGGAGTCCTTTTGATTTGAATATTTCCAGTGATGGAAAAAATAAAAGAATATTCTCAAAGTCTTTGATACAACAAGTTTTCCAGTAATGGAAAGAATAAAGGGAGAAGGATCTCAAGTCAGATTTTTAGGGAGTCCTTTTGATCTGAATATTTCCAGTGATGGAAAAAATAAAGCAGGGTTTCAATCACTCAGAGAAACAAGGTACAAATGAAAAAAGAATAAAGGGAGAAGGATCTCAAGTCAGATTTTTAGGGAGTCCTTTTGATTTGAATATTTCCAGTGATGGAAAAAATAAAGCAGGGTTTCAATCACTCAGAGAAACAAGGTACAAATGAAATACAAAAGGGGGCAGTGATGGGGCTTGAGGAGAATTCCCGAATTTCCTCAGAGTTCCTTTCTCAGATATTTTCTAAGTCCCGAAGTTTTTCTCAGAGTCCAAAGATTTTTCTCGAAGTTTTTGTTAAGTACGTAAAT